CAGTGACCCAGCAGAGACTTTCCTAACTCTAGATGTTATCCAGAGGCCTCATTTCATCTCATTATAGCTGTGGTTTCAATGCACACATCTTCCCTCAAATCGCCACGTTGGCTCTCAGGACACCTTATTAGGTAAAAGCCTGCTTTTGATAAAACCTGTTTCCTGGCTTTCCTCTGATTATCATCAATGAAATTCATAGGTAATATCATTTTCCTACACATAACAGTTTTTGAAATTAGAATAAAGTCCAAGCTGTAATATAAATGAAAAAGACAAATCCTACTCTTTCCGAGGATCACATGGTGGTTTTATTCCTAGAAAACTCAAAGTATACTAAAGGTATTTTAAAAAGTTGTGGGAGCCGGGCGCTGGTGGTTCACGCCTATAATCCTAGCTACTTGGGAGGCTGAGATCAGGAGGATCACAGTTCACGGGCAGCCCAGGAAAATAATTCATGAGACCCCCATCTCTAAAAATAATCAGAGCAAAATGGACTGGAGGTGTGGCTCAAGTGGTAGAGCACCTGCTTTGCAAGCATGAAGTCCTGAGTTAAAACCCCAGGTTCACAAAAAAAAAAAAAAAAAAAGATGTGGGTAACAAAAGAGTTGACTTCTAGGTCTGAGTATTACAAACAAGTTTCTCACATGAGTGCCCAGAAAGAGGAAAGTTGAGAGATGAGTGATATGTTCTTTTTCCTTTGACAGTACTGGGGTTTGAACTCAGGGCCCTGTACTGGCTAGGCAGGTGTGCCTAGTGTTCTTAGTGAAGTTCCTTGTTATGTCAGAATGTCCTATATTTTACAGGATATTTACCTGTCTGACCTACCATCTATCAAATGCCAGAAGCCCCAGTCCTGGGACAACCAAAAATAGCAATAACCTCATAAATTCCAAAGATGTCCCCTAGGGGGCGATGGCACTCCTGTTGGGAGCGGCTGTCCAGTTCCCTGCTGTTTAACTGTCTTTGAGATTGTTTTACATTGAGGCACAGAAATGTCACCTGCCTCCTTTGGAGGCTGTGTGGCACTCATTGCACAGAGATGCAGTTCCTCTCCAGAGACACTCTGCTGTTATAAACAATGAGGACAGCTAACTTTGCGTATCAGTTTACACTTGCATGAGCAGAGAAATTCTTAGAAGTGGCCTGGCTAGCTCAAGGGTTTAGGCATTAGAATTTTGATAGTTATATATGGCCCCAAACCTCCTTCCATAGCACAAGTCCATTAATCCAGTCCCCTGGCAGAGTAGAGCTCTGGCAGCCAGGGCCGGGGGGAGGGGGGTGTCTTAGCCAAGGCCCTTCCCTTCTCGGGGGGGCCCTGCCTCCTTAGCCCACACCCAGGGCTCCTTGGTGTCCAGCAACTCCCAATCCACTTTCTCAGGCCATGGGACGTGTCTCTGTGTGTGTGTGTGTGTGTGTGTGTGTCCCCTTTCCCCAGCTGAGCTGATCTGGGTGATTACATTTGTATTTATTTACTTATTTGTTTTGTGGTGCTGGGGATCAAACCCTGGGCTTTGCACATATCAGGCATGTGCTCCACCACTGAGCTCCACCACCAGCCCTATATTTGTTTTTAAATATATATTTGTTTTTAAATCTTCAAAGTAAAGACAGCTTTGCATTTTTCTGATTCTATAAGTAACATGTGAGTATTTAGGGGGTATCATTTTCCCTATCAACTTTTTATTTTAAAAATTTCAGAAAAGTTGCAAGAACAGGACAGCGAGTACACATAGGCCATTGGCTTTGAGACTTCGTTGCACTTCATTAACTTCTAAACACTGCAGTGCCTGTGGCCTAACAACAAGGAAGGTCTCCACAAGCCATAGGAGGAGCACCACACTCCAGAAATTCAACACTGGTGATGTGACATTGCCCATGCACACCTTGCTTACATTCGTCCACTTGTCCCAGTGAACACTTCTATGGTCTGCCACCCCCTTTCCACCCTCAGAATTCAAAACTCAGGCTTTGTATTTGGCAGTGGGCCTGGAATTTGGATTTTTCCTTGGATGGGAGGAGGGAGATGGAGCTCAGGGCTCAACAGCAGCCTCTAGAAGGTTCCTCAACATAGGGATAGTGCTGGCGTTGAACTCAGAGATGCTGCTCCACCCACAAATGTCTTCTTAGGCCCTGGGGTGCAAGCTGGAGGGCTCCCTGCCCCTGCTCCAGGGCTCACCCTGGAGGAACTCTGCCTCATGATAACCAGCTCCTTGGGAAACAGGCAGGACTTGTCCATCAGTCCCCACAGGACTTCCACCCCTGCTGCTGGAAGTACTTCCTCCCCCTTTACAGTTGAAAGGAGGAATTTTTCCAGGCATGGTGGCTCACATATGTAATCCCAGCAATCAGAAAGCAGAGGCAGAACCATTCATTGACTCTTCAGGTAATTTTCATGTAGTTTAGAGTCTGTAAGCTTGGCAGGACATAATGACATTGTCTTTATTTTCAGGGGAAGAAACTGTAGCAACATCACTTTTTTTAAAGCAACAAATCTTGAAGGCCTCCTAGCTAAGAGCACTGAAAGAAGGAAACCAGAAATGGAATGGGAGCCCTTCACATGACCGTTGGGGAAACTGAGGCTCACAGGTCACAATGTTTAATTTCCTTGCTGTGCTATTTTGCTCCTCACACTTGCATATTGGAGGGGGAGGTGGGACCAGAACCAGGAATTTTCTGTCCTGGAGGCAATTAATAATAGTAGCAGTAACGGCAGTGGCCATTGAGTGCTGGCCACAGCCAGCCAGGGCTCTAAGCACCTCACAGATATCAGCTCCCTAGTCTGCAAATAATCCCTTCACAGCAGGTTCACTGTCACCATCAGCTCCTTTTACCCCAGGGAAACTAAGGTTTATGGGAGTTAAGATACATCTAAAGATTGGGCCAGCTATTCTCCAATTTGCCATCCTCCTGCCTTGGTCTCCCAAATGCTGGGATTAAAGGCCCCTGTTCAGGAGCAAGTGCTAGCCCATGCAAGTGGTATTTCAGGAGCAGAATGACCTAAGAACCAGTTCTTTGGAGTGACCTCAGGGGACTCAGTTTTCTCATCTGTAAAATGAGAAAGCTGTGAGTTGGGTACTACTGGCTTGTAGCTGTAATCCTAGCTACTTGAGAGGCCAAGATCAAGAGGATCATGGTTCAAGAGCAGCCTGGGCAAATAGTTCCCAAGACCCCATCTCCAAAATAACTAGAACAAAATGGCCTGCTTTGCAAGTGCAAAGCTCTGAACTCAAACCCCAGACTCACTAAAAAAAAAAAAAAACCAAACCAAAAACGCTGTAGTGTGTATGTGTGTGTGAAAGAGTGAGTTCTGTACCACCAGGAAAGTATTAACACACAATACACAAGACCCTCAGTTTCCTGCTCTGTAAAATAGGGAGAATAATGTCTTGGCTGCTGGCTGTGAAACTGTTTGGTAAACCATTAACTAAGAAGTTGTAAAGGACCTTAATGGGGGCTGGGTTCTTGCCTTAGCCGAGTTTATGAAATGATTTGTGTCATTTCTTTCAGTTGGGAATGGGGAAGAGATGGAAAGGACGACTTCCCTTGAAACATTTTGACCAGGGGCTACTTATCTGGGCACAGATTACATTCACTCCGCCCCCAAACTGGGTTTCCGAGAGGGAGCCCAAGACTTAGTCTTAGGGAAAGCGTACGGTTGGCCCTTTGGCATCCACGTGCTAACGGGGATGGCTGGGCGGCTCCAGCGCCGTTTGCAACCAGTTGGGGACTGAGGGGCGGGAAGGTAGTGACGTCAAAGTCAAGGCCTCCTTTCCTTAAAGGCGCAGGCTCGCACCTGGTGTTCATTTTTCAGTATTAGGATAAATAATAATAGCGTAAACGTTTTAAAGGTGAGGTGTATGATGGTGGGGTCTCAGGTTGGGGAGAACTGTGTCTTCCTAAGAAACCGGCTCAAAGAGGTCGACGTTGGTGACCTCCAGTCACCTGGGGTATCAGTATGGTGCAGGGTGGCAGTTCGCACCTGACGGTTCGAATTCCTGCTCTTACCTTTGAGCCTCAATTTCATCTTCTGTAAAATGGGGGTCTTTTTCAGCAATAAACTTAAAAAGTTTTGAGCCAAGTGTGGTGGTGACCAACTGTAATCCTAGCTACTGGGAAGGCAGACGGGATCATCAGAGGCCTGCCCGGGGAAAAGGCAAAAAAAAAAAAAAAGACTGGGGGCGTGACTTTGGTAGAACCTTGTCTAGCAAGCGCAAAACCCCAGGTTTTTTGGTTTTTAAAGAAATGGTTTTGAGCATCGGAATAAATAATGGTGTGAAAAGAGCTACAAAAATATCGGTTTCCTACTTCTCTATTCGATGTTGTCATGGGGTGCACGAGGAATTCCAAGTCCAGAGTGGTGTTACAACTTGCCCAGGGTTTCACGGAGGTGGGACCTGGATCTCCGGGCGCCGGGAGGATGCCTGGCGCAGGCTTTGGCTGATTTAACGCAGCTGCCTCACCCATAGGTGTTCTGCAGTTTATAATGCGGGTTTGGGGTTGCAGCCTTGTTTCGTCATTTGTTAAGTGGGGGTGATGCTCATTCTTCCCAGATACTGTCACCATGAAGTTGTAAAACTTCAACAGGGAGCCCAGCAGACAAACGTTTGGCATTACTGTTTGGTCCTCTGGCGACCTTGAACAACAGATTGTCGCCGCCGCCTCGCAGATGGGGACCCTGAGAACAAGGCGGATGGTACGAACCCGCACCGTCCGCAAAGTTCCTGCGAGCGCTGGGATTGCTGGAGCAGCGCCCCACCAGGGTGCTGGCGGGGTGGGGCTTGTGAAAACTCGCTGTCAAGGGCGGTACTGCAGCCAGTGGAGACCGCGACCTTGACCTGCAGGCTTCCTGGAGCTCGCGGCAGGAGTGGAACCCGCTCACGTGGCCGCGGCGCAGGGGCGGGGCTACGGCAGATGGTGGGGGGGGTGGAGAGACGGCGAGTGGGCGGGGCCCGTGGTACTCCGGGCGCGGGACCAGTTGGCCCGCGGGGCGGTGCTTAGAAGCCGTGTGGGGGCGGAGCCAACTCCGCCGCTTTCTCTGTCGGCCTAGGTGCGCGGCGGGCGCGCGCGGACCCAGCACCGGCCGCGGACCCGCTATGGGCCCGCCCGGCCCCTGGCGCCGCGCTGCGCGAGCACCGGCTTAAAGTCAGGTGGGCGGACCACGGCAGGGGCAAACCTGCGCGCTGACTGGGGGCGGAGGCAGGAGGGGATCTCTGAGGGTCCCCTGAGCTCCTGAACCGGGGCTGGGGACCCAGGGTGGCGTGCCGTGGTCGGCCTAACTGGGTTCTCTACGCTAGGCCTAGGCAAGGGAGTGTCGATGAGAGTCGGGAAGAGATCTCGCCTCTTTGTCCCTCCTTTTGGCCGTGTCGGCTGAGCCCCGGCTTGGATTTTGGGGAGAGACGTCAGGGATAATGTCCTCCCATCCGGGCCTGTCCCGTCGGTCCCCGGAGGCAGAGTGCGGGGAAGGGCCGGGCACCCCAGCCTTTAGTCCCAGGAAGACGGATGGACCCTTCTCTCCCTCATCAGATTTGTTTACTTCTATGCCTGGCTCCACCACTCCTCGCTCGGAACTCGGGGGCCCAGGGAGACAGCTCAGGTGTTTTAATCTTTAGGTCACTAGGGCCCAACCTGGCGGCTGTACTTAGGAGATGCATAGTAAGCACGTGTGGTGTGGATCAATGGGTGATCAGTCCGAATTACTCCTGCAGTGGCCTGAGCATTAGTTTCCCTATTGGGAAAGTAGCAGTGGGAGTGAGCATCTGGCTAAAGTCCACTTTCCTCTGAGGCCTATCTCATCCATTTGACTTGAGGTTTGTTTTTCAGGATTGAAGCTCCAGAATGGCTGACCAGGACCCTGGGGGCATTAGCCCCCTTCAGCAAATGGTGGCCTCAGGGGCTGGGGCTGTGGTCACTTCGCTCTTCAGTAAGACCTGGGGAGGTGGAGTGTGGGCAACTGGGGATGGGGGCAGACCAAAGTATTGGAGGCAGCTTTTTCCTGGGGTGGGGTGGGTAGGGAAGGGTCCTGCAAGGAGCCTTCAGACCTGCCTTCTCCTCTAGTGACACCCTTGGATGTGGTGAAGGTCCGCCTGCAGTCTCAGCGCCCCTCCATAGCCAGCGGTGAGTACCTGAACCTGGAGCCAAATTAGGGGGGGTGGGTACCTGGCCAAAACTAGGATCTCTCAGAGATGGGGTTCCTGGGGTGTGTGTGAGGGGGGCTCTCCTGACTTCAGGGGCTGCCTTGTATTTCAGAGCTGACACCTTCCTCCAGATTCTGGAGCTTCTCTTACACCAAATGTGAGTGACCCAAGTCTCAGGGAATCTGGGAGGGTCCAGGGTGAGAGTGGTCCCTTGTTCTCTGGGCACCTGTTGGCCCCATAGTTGTGGGTAGCACATAATTTGAGATCACATGAACCAGCTCTCTGTCCTACACAAAAATATCCACATAGACATCCCAGCCTCTGTTGGCCCTCCAGGTTTGGGGACTTGCCACCTACCAGGAAGATTCCAGGTTCAGTCATCTTAATACCCTCCTTCCCTTCCACAGCACCCTCCTCTCTCCAATCCACAGGGAAGTGTCTCCTATACTGCAATGGTGTCCTGGAGCCCCTGTACCTGTGCCCAAATGGTACCCGCTGTGCCACCTGGTTTCAAGATCCTACCCGATTCACTGGCACTTTGGTGAGAATCAGTGTAGATGTTCCAGAGGGACTTGGTCGGTCTGGTTGGGCAGCAGACCTGAGAAAGAATAAGTAGTGCAGAATAGGAAGAGGCAGCCAGAGCAATCAGTTCAGGAAGAGCTTCCCAGGGAGGTAGTGCCTCACTGAGGTTTTTGTTTGTTTGATACTAGGGATCGAAACCAGACCTTAACATGGGTTATATGAGTGGTACATCAGTCATCTACATCCCCTGCCCTCCATGAGATTAGTTTGGGTTTTTTTTTTTTTTTTTCTCCTTGTGGTACTAGGCTCTGAACTCAGGGCCTCACACTTGCTAGGCAGGTGCTCCAGCACTTAAGCCACTCTGCCAGCCCTGTTTTGTGTTGGATATTTTCAAGATAGGGACTCACAAACTGTTTCCCTGGGCTGACTTCAAACTACGATCCTCCTGATCTCTACCTCTGGAGTAGCTAGGATTACAGGCATGAACCACCGGCACTCAGCTCCATGAGGTTTTGAAGGGTGATTAGGGTCACAGAGAGCCAAATGAGGGGTTGCCTGTGTGGAGGCCTGAGGGGCTAACTGCCACTCAACAGGACCCAGGACTGTGGGCAGAGGCAGAGAACATCCAGTCCCATTACATGCCTTGCTCATTTCCATCCTCTTACCCCCTGGGCTGGTGTGCCTTTGGTCAGGATGCTTTTGTGAAGATTGTGAGGCATGAGGGCACCAGGACCCTGTGGAGCGGCCTCCCTGCCACTCTGTGAGTAGCCCAGTCTTATGTGTTCCCTTTCCCTGCCTTTTGCTGATCCTTGTTCTCTGTTGACTGGGTGGGTGGGGCAGGGGACACATGAAAGGTTAGGGAGCCGTTGGCAGTCCCAGCCAGCCTTTGTGCACACTTCCAGGGTGATGACTGTGCCAGCTACTGCCATCTACTTCACTGCCTATGACCAGCTCAAGATCTTCCTGTGTGGTCGAGCCCTGACCTCTGACCTCTATGCACCCATGGTGGCTGGTGCACTGGCCCGCAGTGAGCACATCTCTAAGGCCCTCAATCTCCCCCTACCTCCCTCTGCCCCACTCCAGTCAGTCCTGGCTCCCAGCCCTAACCTCTGCCAGCCCCTGGGGGTGGGAGGATGTGTTAATCCCCCAGGCCTTGGTGCAGGAGCTCGGTGTTGCCATGAGGGTCCTGTGACCCACTTTGAACTCTCTTCCCAACCCTCCCCACCCCCAGTGGGCACTGTGACGGTGATCAGCCCCCTGGAACTGGTACGGACCAAGCTGCAGGCTCAACATGTGTCATACCGTGAGTTAGCCACCTGTGTCCAGGCTGCAGTGGCTCAGGGTGGATGGCGCTCACTGTGGCTGGGCTGGGGCCCAACAGCCCTTCGAGATGTGCCCTTCTCAGGTAGGCACCCAGGGTAAGGGAGCCCTGGCTGATGCACAAGGGGTCTGCATCCATCAAACCACTTAATTTGTCTGACCCTGGGGTTCCTTGCTTGTGAGGTGGGCCCAGCAGGGAGGGCATTTGGCTGGGTTTTTGTGAGCTAATTCCTGCAAAGGGCCTGTTACAGATCCTGGCATATAGCAGACAAGTAGGGCATGGTTGTCATTGGGAAATGAGAGCTCTGGGGCCTACCTCCCTGGTCTTCCTGTCTCTAATGTGTGTACCTCACTTCCCAAGCTCTATACTGGTTCAACTATGAGCTGGTGAAGAGCTGGCTGAATAGGCTCAGACCAAAGGACCAGACATCCGTGGGCATCAGTTTCGTGGCTGGTGGCATCTCAGGGACAGTGAGTTGACTAGATTGGGGGTGAGGGTTGGTGGAGATTCTAAGAGAAGAGTGCCCACACAGCAGTGCATCAGCAGTTTTTCGGGAAGCTTGCTTGCTCGCCTTAGCCATCCATGGGAGCATTTTTCCCCAGCCCCGGGAGCCACCAGAGTGCCGAGAATAGGGTCCTGGGAATGAGCCCTCAACCTTCCCACCAGGTGGCTGCCATCCTGACTCTCCCTTTTGATGTGGTGAAGACACAGCGGCAGGTGGCACTGGGAGCAGTGGAGGCGATGAGAGGTGAGCTCAAAGCTGATGTAGTTGGGGGCAGGCAGGGGCCCAGCAAGGTCCGACTGAGCCAGGCTTGAATTTTCAGTGAAACCCCCACGTGTTGATTCTACCTGGCTGCTGCTGCGGAGAATTCGGGCTGAATCAGGCACCAGAGGACTCTTTGCAGGTGGGTGTCTGTCTGGGTGGGTGTGCATGCATGCTATGTGAACCTGTAACCCTGACCCCTGACCCCTCCCCTCCTGCTCCAGGTTTCCTCCCCAGGATCATCAAGGCTGCACCCTCTTGTGCCATCATGATCAGCACCTACGAGTTCGGCAAAAGCTTCTTCCAGAGGCTCAACCAGGAAAGGCCTCTGGGTCATTGAAAAGGTCCAGGAAACACCGCTGCTCTTCCACCAATGGGGCAGGAGGAGACCTCTGAGCCAAGTGCCTTTGCCTCATTACTGAGGAGGGGCCTCCCTTTCCTCCCTTTCCAGTCCCTTCTCCCTTCCCCTCCCCTCCCTTCCCTTTCCCTCTCTACGAAGAGCCCAGGTAGGGCCGCCCAGGCCTTTCTTAGATACAGCTTGTTTCCTGCTGCTCTCCTTCCCAAGATCATCTCTTTTCTACCCCCAAGTTCAAGACCAAATCTGATAACTGTCCCCTCTTTGTGTTTCCTTTGTGTTTGCTGTAGCAGGGCCCCAAGAAGCCAAGATCCCCTGGGCTGGGCTCAGTCTCCCCAGCCCTGTTAATTCTGTCTAAAGATGATGACCTGTGTGGAGCCTGTGACTGCAGTGTCTGGGTGTGGTGGTTGGAGGTGGCCTGAGGAGCCACATGCAGGGGAGGCCTGGGATAGTTTTGACTCCCCAGAGAGGGACCCCTGAAGAGACCCTGCCCAAGGTAGGGAGTACCAGGTCAAGTGAGGACCCAGTGTTGAGGGGGGTGATTAAGTTACCATCCCAGTAGTGAGGTTCCTTCAGGATGGGCCTCTACAATGCTGGGGAGAGTGGGAAGACATCTCCCTAAGAGCATACTTGAGCAACAATGGAAGAGGCAGGGCTGCGTAACTGTCCATCTGGCTTGATGGACAGGTCTATAACTTGTAGCATTGCTCAGGCCTGTGGTTCTCCTCTGCTTGCGCTTGAATAAATATTAAAGAGGTTAGGTTGAAGCGGAACTTAGTGTCTTGGCCCTGCCCTGGGCAGACTCCGTACTTAGGACATGTCATACAGAAGCCCCCTCTGCCCACCTGCTCGCACAGGTCACAAGCTAGTTCTGTCGTCTTGGTTATGGGCCAGGCACTGGATGCAGCACCTTCTACTGACCTCAGTGTGGGGCCTACCCAGCCCATCACAGATGAAGCCACCCTCAGTCCTCTGGTTTTTATTTGCCTGATCCCCCCACAGCCCCCACGTGGGGGCCAAGGAAGGAGTTACTTTGGAGGGTACACAGGAATAGACCAGAGAGGCAGGGCAGTGGGATTGCCAAGACTGGGACACCAGCTCCTGAGGAGGGTGTGGGAGATGAGCAAAGAGGAGTGAGAGGGAGTCAGCCAGGCATCAATCAGGGTTACCAGAAGAATGGAGCAGCTTCCCTGGGGACTCCCCCTATGGTTTTGGTGTCCCTGCCTCTTGGTCCCGCCTCTTTCCTTTGCAGTCCTTGCCCTCCTTGGGCAGGAAGCTAAAACACACAAGAGGCAGGGGGAAAGACAACCCCTGCTGCTGGGTGGGCAGCATTCTCTAGATAGGGGAACTTGAGGAAAGGTGGCAGGTGTCCATGGCCCCTGGCAGATGGGGCTGGCACTGCCCATACCGTTCCTCAGCTGGGGCTCAGTGCTGGGCTGCCCTCAGGACTGTCGCTCACCAGGCACTCGTTGGATTTGAAGCTCGCCAGGGACTTGCAGCTGGGAATGGAGGCAAGGGAGCCGCAGAGGCCCAGCATGGAGGGCGTGGGGTCCTTCCCTGGGGAGAGAGGGTGGGTGAGGCCACCATGCGTGTGAGTGGGGAGATGGATGTGCAGGGGTAGGCAGTGAAGGGATAGCCCTCAGGTCAACCTCCCTCCCCCGGGAGACTTTTTGGCCTCTTTGGGAGCATTTGTCATTTTTGATAAAACCTTGGTTAAGCACCTGCTTATGCCATGCACGGTGCTGGGGACACTGTATTGTAATCACCAGTTTATGTCTGTCTCCCCTGAGGTTTGTCCTCTCTGTCTTATTTATTAAGCACGCAGTGAGCATTTGCTCTGTTCCAAGCACTGGGGATACAGAGAACGGACGAGACATGGTCCCTGCCCTCTCGGAGCTCACAGTCTGATCGGGGAGACAGACACACAGACAGTCACAAACACAGTGTGTGGGTTACAAGTCCACAGCCTGCCTTGTCTCAGAGAAGATCTAGGGTCATCCAGTACAAGTGTGGATATAAAAAAGAGGAAATCCAGGCACAGGGAAAACTAGGAGGGAAAAACCAAGAAGAAGCCAGGGTTGAGGTCAACACAAAATGCATGCGTTGAAGTCCTGGGCATTCTCTCGCTGGAAGGGAGCCACTAATTTGGCTCTGAGCTTCCTGGCAGCCAAAGAAAAGGGGGAAACAGTGGTCAGACAAGCAGTTCACAGTGCATGTAAGATAAGAGCAGTTAGTAAGGCTGAGGAATCACCCGAGTGTTTGTGAGCCCCATGAGGATTTCATGATACCAGAAGGCCATTGAGCACACTGTATGTTGACACTAGTGGTTATTTTTACCAACATTCCCATCTCACACAGGGGACTGGGACTCAGCAAGGTGAAGTGACTGGCCAAGCTCCCACAGCTGGAGGAGGTGCAGCCACAATTTGCACTGGGTTCTCCCAAACCAAGCTCCTTAGGTTGTTCTAAACTCAGGAAGGGCTGACAGAGAATGAGAGGTTTGGCTGGGCCTGACTACAGGCCCCAAAACCTTGCCTCAGCCCTTCCTGGAGGGGTGCTGAGTGTCGGGGTGAGGGGCTCACCGATGGGACCCCAGGGTTCCTCGTCCCGCTTGCCCTCGCCCAGGCGCTGGGAATCGGAGCTCAGACTGGCCTCGGCTGACAGCGGCTCGGAGCTCATGAAGCTGTGTCTGCGTCGGAGCAGAGTGCAGTGTGCGGCAGAGTTCTGCAGCCCCCAGGACCCTTCTTTCCTGGGGGTCCCAGCACTCAGACCCAAGCTTAGCGTGGCCGGGGCTTACCTCCGGTAGAGCTTGGAGTTGCTGGCACCCTCGGCCCCCGTGAACGGTCCCAGGGAGGGCCACTGGTTGACCAGGGGTGTGGTGAGGTCCTTGGAACCCTGGGCCAAGGGGGCGTGGTCACCAGGGATCAGACCTGTCCTGGGAGGGGGAGAGGGGTCAGGCCTGACTGAAAGAGGGAGTAAAAACAGGGAAGGGAGACTTAGCAAGGGAGGGGACAGGGATTAGGAAGAAAACTTTAGTGGCAAAGCTGGGAATAGAAGGTGGTGCATGTCTGTAATCCCAGCACTCGGGAGGTTGGGGTGGGACGATCACGACGAGTTTGAGGACAGCTACATAGTGAGATCCTGTCTCAAAAAAAGGGAGAGTCAGTGGGACAGATCCTGGCAGGCAATCTGGCACTGAGTGGAGGGGCGACAGGAATTACTGCACTAATGTAGTTAGAGGGGTGTGATGGAGGGTTGGAGGAATCAGTTGGGATGATTGGAGGAGAACCATAGAGGACGGTGTGGGTGGTCAGGTTTAGGGAAGAATTATGAAGGATCAATAGGGTGAGGTTAGGGGGTCACTGTGGATGGACCACTGGATCTAGGGTGCATATCAGAGGAGTGTTGAACAGTGGGAGTGCTGCAATCACGTTGAAGGTCTCTGAGTGACGTTAGCGGTCCTGTGAGTAAAATGCTGGAGTCCCTACAGTAATGTTGGATGGTTCTAGTGGATGTTGGGTAATTGAGGGTAGCCAACTGTTTTGGAAGCCGGCGGTAGAGGTCTTGGGGTGGAGGTGAAGGGATGGGTGGGCTGATACTGGCGAGTTAGGTGCTAGTGTAAGGCAAAGTGATGCTACTCGATGGAGTGATGATAGGGTTCACAGAGGTCGGGGTCAAGGCAGGCAGCGGCGCTCACAGCTGCTCCTGCAGCTCCAAGATCACGCCTTCCAGCTCCCGCTTCTCGCGCTGGTTCTGCGCGGCGGCTTCCTCCAGCTGCAGCTGCAGCCTCCGGTTCTCCGCTTCCAGGTCCTTCAGCTGAGACTCGCGCAGACGCACCAGCTCCTCCAGGTAACCCTGTGGGGCTCCGGCTCAGCCCAGGGGAAGCCGGGGCTCCCAGCTGCCGCCCCGCCTCGGCTTACCGGGTCCCCCGCCCCGCCCAGTTCCCCACGCCCCCTACCGCGCATCGCGCACCTTCTGTGCGTAGACGATGCGAAACTTTTGCTCCATCTTGTGCCACTTGTTGTACCAGCTGTCCTCGTCGGTGACGAGCGGCAGGTAGGGATGCTCTGGAGAGTTGTCCTCGCTCGTGCTGCTCTCGGCACTGTGTCGCTCCTCCTCATCCGTCAGGTAGTCGTAGCTTGAGGAGGGGGGAGTAGTGGGTAAGGCAGGCGGGGCCCTGCCCCATTCCCATCGCAACCCCGCCGACTTGGGCAGTGAAGTCAGGATGAACCTCTGCCCCAGGTCTTGTCCCTCACCTCCGTACTCAGCGCCATAAAGGAGCCCCTCACCTCTGGGTGAACTTTAGGTAGGGCGTATAGTCGATGACCACCGGGGTCTTCCCGTCCAGGACTTCGCCTTTTAGACAGAAGCTGAGGCAGAAGAGCCGCGGGGTTGGGGGAGGGAATAGGGCCTTGGACATTTGTGGGGAAAACAGCACCCCCTCACCACCACCATGCAGACCCCACCTGAAGTCTATGGCACTCAGTCCAATCAGCATCCCGGTGAGGACGGTGGCATCCTCGCGCAGCATGATGGCTCCGGAGTCATAAAACCGCCTGTGGGGAGATGGGGAGCAGCAATTCCCAAGAGCTCGTGCTGAGGACTTGTTTGTTTGGCTTACTACAAACTTCCCCAGAGGAAGCTTAGCACTCTTGTCTCCCACTCAGATTGGCATTCACCGAGGGTACCTCCTGGGTCCTTTCCCTGCCCCCCACTAGAATGCCTGTTCTCTGAGAAAAGCCCTCTAGTCCTCCAAGCCACCCAGTCCCCACCAAGTCCTAGGTCACCCAGCTCCTTTAAGTCAGGAAACAAGTTCTAGTCATTACTGCTTGACACACAGTAGGCACTCAAAAAATTAGTTTCAACCGTGGAGACTAGGGTAGAGTGTAGTTAAACACATCCGGCTGGGTGTGGCCATGTGGGAAGGGAAGGTACATCCCCCCTCCACACACACACTCACACCTCAACCCCGGCTTCCCACACTGCACTCTGGCACTTTCTGCCTTGTGATCCTGGACCTAGGGACCCAACTTCCCTGCAAACCCACAATCCAGGAGCTGAAGCTGAAGTGGCAGAACTGCTGCCACTGTTTGGAGAGCTGGTAGGGCTGTGTATTGTAGGTCATGGCCCAAGACCAAAAAGTAAAATAGTACATGGTTGAGGCTTGTTCGGAAGTGTGTCCAAGAGAAGAGCTGTGCATGATGGCACCGGGGTGGCAATGATGCCAGATAATGGGCATTAGAATTTGCCTTGGAATTGATGGTAGTGGTACTTGTTCCAGGACTGGAGGGCAGGCTGACCCATGGATGGTCTGGAAGAGGGAAACTACCAGTGTATGCTGGGACTTGTAGTCCAGATGCTGTAGTTTGCTAAAGCATCTTAAATCAACTGTTTATGCCATGAACGTGAGCACTGCTGTCTGAAAGTTCTGACCTGGTAGTCCTGGTGTCCCGAAGAGCTGTGGTGATATATTCTGACATGCGCTTCTCCATCAGTGCCACCCGGATCCACGCCCGGCCCTGGAAAGCACGCTCACCTTTACTTCTTATCCCACAGGGACCCATATATCCACATCAGTGTGGCTCTTCTCCCCAGGGCTGGGGGCAGGAGGTAAGAACAAAGGAACAGGAAGGCCCCAGATGTCCCAAGCAGAGATCAGTTGCGGTGGCCCCACCCACCTCTGGCCCCTCACCTTGGCTCGGGCTGTGCTGATGTTCTCCATGTTCTCAATGCTGCTCACACAGTTGTTGGGCACTTTGCTGCAGGCCAGCCGGATATAGTCCCAGAAGCCCCGTTGCCCATCTGAGCTGAACCAGCTCACTGGACCTGCTGGGGCACAGGCTGAGCCAGGGTAGGGAGGGGGCTCAGCACCAGGGAGTTTGGAAAGGGCCCGTGCAATGAGGCGCTTGCATGCAGAGGTGTAAGCAGCCATGCACAGACATATTGCCCCCACCTCCAGATTTATGTGCACACACGTGTGCAAAGCAAGGCATGCCACCAATAGCTGCATGCCATTGATGGGGCTATGGGCAGAAGCCCCCTCCCCCAACTCTGTGCATTAGTTTCTGTGCATGGCCCAGAAGGGGGGCCAGGCTAGTGATGGGGTTCAGAAATTCACGGAGGATGTCAGAGGAGGCGTGGCTGGAAGCTAACGGCTGGGAGTTGGGTGGGCAATGAAGGACAGGAACTCAGGCCCACCTTTGAAACGGTGGCTGAGGATCTGCTCCAAAATGGCTGCAAAATTAACAAACTCCTCGGATGAGTCATCGATGGGCTCTGTCGTGTACTTCTCCAACAGGGTTTTCACAGAGAACCTGGGTGGAGAGGTGGGGAGACAGGGCAGTGGGGGAGTCAGGAGAGAAGACAAGGTGATGGTGGTAGAGCAAGTGTGTCTGGTAGAGAAGGAGTGACAGCAGAAAAGAGGCCCTGAAGGGCACAAATGTGGTAGGAAGACAGGTGAGACTAGAGTGACCATAGAGAGCCCATGCCATGTGGAGTGAGAGGGTGGTAGGTGGGGGCACGGAAAGTGATTGGTGAGAGACTGATTGGCAAAATGGGTGACAGGAGAGGTAACAGAGAAGCTTCAGGAACAAGGTATGAGAGGGGATGAAACAATAGGTAGAAAGAAACACCAAATGTTGGGGGGGGTGTCCCCAAGCACCTTCCTTCTGGATCACCTTCCAGAACTGCATTTTCCTTGTGTGAGTTAGGGGTCAGCCAGGAGTCAGAAGGCAGCTTATAACCCTGCCCTGAGCTTCCTTTTGCTGTTTCTGGAATTCCCGAAAAACCTTCCATCCCTTGGGGGATGGGGGTCACCTGTGCCAGGGCATGTGAGCTGGCACCGGACACATGGAGCGTGGGCATACATGGGTGCCCAGGTGGGCTCTCAGCTCACAGATATCCCTCTTCTCCTTTCTCCTTCCCAGCTTGGCCACCCACACACCAGCTGCCCAGAACCAGGCGGTGCAGAGCTGGGTGGTGGGGAGGAATGCAGGGTGAGTCTGACACACACTGGGTAGGAGGGGCACTGGCAACAGATCCCTGGAAGGGCCTTGAGAGCCTGGATACTGACTTCTCAGGGAGGAAGAGAGGCTGGTGGGGCTGAGGGGCTGGAGCCAAACAACCCGGTCCCTCTCTCCAATCCTATTTGAAGTCTCCTGTTCCCTCTGCAGTCCCTACCCCTGCAATCTTTACGTGCCATCCCTGCAGTGGAGTGGAGCAGGGTAAGGACACACAGTGCTCCTTACTGTCATACTGTGAGTAGCAAAGTAGGGCCAGGGTGTCCAGGGATATAGGAGTTGCTTGGAACTGTCTTTTAATTGTCTCTTGTTTATCAGGCCCTACACTTTGCATGTATTAACTCATCTGTCCTTACCTTAGCACTGGGAGGTAGTCCTCTTATTATCACCACCATCTCCATTTTACAGAGAGGGAGACTGAGGGTTCAAGAGGTTGACTAGCCTGTCCAGAGTCACATAGTTTGTGAAGAATCAAGCAGGTAAACCCCATTCCAAATCCCTTGCCCTTTTAGCTATGTATTGTGGCCTCCTGGTGGCTGTCACAATTACTGAGGCCCTGAGCAGCCTCCACCTCCTCTGCTTATGTCCTTCACTCTGCAAGCCTCCAGCACTGGAGCATAGGACTCTGAGGCATTCAGGTCAAAGGCACAGCTGAGCCCATGCCCCTGCCTTCCATTTGGGCTTAGAGTGGGCCTGGCCTGAGATCAGTGCCAGGTCAGTCTTGGACTGCAGGAGGGGGGAAGCAAGCTGCTCCCCCCTCCTGCAGGAATGCTAGCACTTGCCTCATTACATTTTGGTTCGGATGGGAGAAGGAGAATGTGTATGAGCTGCTGGGCAGGAGTGGTGAGGAGCTGGGCCGTTAATGGGTGGGCTGGCCCTGCCAGGAGGAAGCCTATGATTAGGACATTATCTGGGCTTCATCATACAACCCTCTCAACTTGATGATTTCTTTGGGTAAGCTGGGTCAGACCTGGATGGAGGCCTGGGGCTGGGTCAGCGTGGCAGCCATCTGCCATTTGTCCTCAGGGGTGCTGCAGAGCTGTTCTCAGGAGCCCCATGGTGTGCTCCCTATTAAGAGGTGCAGTGACTGCTGTGGGTTACCATGGAGACAGGGAGGCCAGGGCCCAGGGGAGCCCTCGGCCTGCTAAAGGGAGCTGTTCTGGGAGCCGGAGGCAAACCACATGATGGTGATGAGGTGGCAGGGGCCCCCAGGGTTTCTGAGCCTTTGTCATGTCCCCAATCTCTTAAAACTTTATCCTTCAACCCCTACCCCCAGCTCTGAGCTATCTCCAGTCCACCTGAATCTCTGCTTCTCTAGCCTAGGCCAATGGGAGTTCCTTCCTACCCACCCCTCAACTCCACACACACTTAAGAGATCCAGCTATCCTGGCAGGCAAAAGAAAAGAGGAAGCTAGGAGGTCAAGAGCCAAGAAGGGGCCTGGGGCATGGGTCAAGGGATAGAATGCTTGCCTTTCACGTGTGAGGCCCTGGGTTCAACCCCCATTACCTAGGGGTGGAGGCAAGAGAGGGACAAGAAGGGTGTCATAAGAACAGGGCTGTTTGTGTGTGCCAGGCACTGGCTAGACTCCTGCATGGCACACCATTACTATTCTTTGGTATGGCTTTTACAACTAAAATGGGTATGATGAGGCACCCAAGGCCCAGAGTGGTTAGACTTCCCCCAAGGTTGCAAAGCTAATAGCTGGAGTGAAAGCTTGAACCTAAGACCATTTTCTCTTTACACAACCCCAGCAGGATTTTGGGGATGAGGGCAGAGGCAGTGACTGTGCTTTGGGCTGGGTCATGACTAAGGCTCATTCTTTCCACAACATTCCAGGCATCTTTACAGAGGCCTGACGTGCACAGCACTGTCCAAGGTACTAGGGATGAGGTGCTGTAAGGTAGATGCAGCTTGGTTAGGTGTGTGCCCAGGAACTTAGAAGGAGCTCAGGGCATCAGGTGGGCACTGATTCCTGGGAGGAGGAGCTGGGCTGAAGCCTGCATGCAGGCAGATGGGACTGTCAAGGAAGCACCCAGCAGCACCCTATCCTGCCAGGGTAGCGCCTGATAGGCATGGGGGATAGGGAAGCTGCAGGTGGAGAAGGCAGCTGGTGTGGGGCTCCCAGAAAGGCAAGTGCAGGTGGGGGCTCAGGAGAAAGAATGCACAGCTGGTGGTTTCCTGGCCTCAAGACAGGACAGGGAGGGTGAGGCACTGCAGGGTTGAAGTGGGAAGGATCACTTTGTGGGCCCCAAGAGAGCGAATTTTCCCAGCCCTGTGCAGTCCCACCTTCAGGGACTAATGGTTCTGTCCTTCCGATCTTCACTTGAACCCAGGGAACACAGACTTCTTGCAGGTGGGCCCTGGGTTCTTCCCACCGCAAGGCAAGGCCCCTCAGCCTTCACTGGATGAGTTCAGGAGCTTTGTCCACAGGCCCAGTTGCCCCTGCCTGGGGCTGCAGCTATCCAGAGTCAGAGGCCATCCCTGCTCCAAGGTGGAGTACAGAAAAGTTTCCAGGGAAGCCCCACCCCAGAGAGGCCAGGGTGGCAGGGTTCGCAGTGAGGGTACTTGGAGGGCGTTTTACACCCTCGCCATGGGTTCTCCTCTGCCCACCCTGCCCCCATTCCCAAGAAAGCAGTCAGCCATCCCCACCCCTCCCCCTCACACACAATGTCACTTCCTGGTTCTCACAGGAAGCTGCAGTGCCAATTAAACACCCCTCATCTCCAGGCTCCAGGCCCAGCAGGGGCCTGATTTAACATAGGAGGATAGAGAACAGATTTCCAAACCGCCCCTACCCCCGGAGTTCTGAGCCCGGGAGGGACAATGAGACACGTTCCTTTAAGCCTTTGCTTCCCTCCGTTTTCTCCGCGGTTGCAGTGCATCTCCCGTGGACAAGCTCAGCCCAGGTTTCCGCAGCCCGCCCAGTCCCTGTCCCTGACCGCCCCGCCCCCGCCGGCCCGCGGCGCCCACCTGCACACGGTGATCAGGTTCCTACGCTCCACGACCACGTTACGGGAAGATGCTTTCTTGGAGGGCAGCCCCAGAGCCATGGTGATGTGGACAAAGCTCGTTTCCATCCAGATGTGCGGCCACTGCTGCTGCCGCCCTATGCCCCTCACCCGGCCCGGCGCCCCGGCCCCCTCGCCGGATCACCGCTGAGCCCTCTGACTGCCAGAGCGCCTCGACCCCTTCGCGGCCATCCCTCTGCCTCGACTCCCGGTGCCCGGCCCCCTCGCTCCCTCCCCCGGCGGCGATTCCGAAGCAAAACAAGCCGGGGAGGGAGCTCTCCGAGGTGCTGAGCCGGGCCCCGTCACCCCCTCCCCCAGCCGCCCGCCCCCCTCGTCGGTGACGTCAGGGCCATCTGGCCCCGCCCTCCAGCAGGCCGGGGACCAATCCGCAGAGGATGCAGGGTTGGGGAGGAGGGAAGGGCTGGGGCCTCCGAGGGGACCCAGGCGGACGTGGTGGTGGTCGGGGGTCAATTTCAAGAAGAGGGGAAACGCATCCTCCACCCCTGCGCTCAAGGCCGGGGAGTCCTCGTCTGAAGTCTCTGAGCTCCGACCCCTTTGCTTCCTGGTTTCTGACCTGTGATCCGTCGTGTCTATCTCTGATCTCCCCTGGTTGCCTGGGGAATGGAGGTCCTCACCTCCGGTACCCTCATTCCAGCCCCGCCCCCCACCTATTCAGCCTTGGCTTTCTCAACAGGCCGGGGCAGCGTTCAGAGAGTGCAAGGTGGCCTTAAGTCGCTAACTTCGAAGGCTAAGGAGCTGTCAGAGTGACCACGATCTGTCGGTCTGTTTGTGCCCGGGCTGCGCTTGTCTCCACCAGTCCGGAAAGTCAACCTCTCCTGGGGTGGAGGATGGGAACCCAAAATAAATCATCTAAGCCTAGAGCCACTCTGAACAGAGATTAAGGAGTACTGACAGCTAAAGACCGCGCTCTGTGGCGGTCCCCAGCAGTGCAGCTGGTGTCCGCAGTGCTGCCAAGGCAACTGAGAAGTAGCAGCCACCCCAAGAGCCAGCAGGCCTAAGGGTTAACTCCCTGGCTGCCGGCATTGCTGTATGGTGCCATCAGCCCTCAGGAGGGCTCTGCAGAACTAACTGGCTGCAGCTTTTACTTGGAGTCAGGGGAAATGAAGGCACAGTCTGACTTCTCTGTTGCCCTTGGCCTCCATATTGCTCTCCCATCCTTGCTTCCACTTGCTTCCTTCCTCTGCTCAGTCTGTTCCAGGACTCAAACAGTGCCTATGTTTGATTTGAGTTGCTAATGTTGATGTTGAGTTTTAGAAGTTCTCTATTTATTCTGAATATCAATCTTTTTTCGAATGTATGATGTGCAAATATTTTCTCCCATTCTGTGGTTTGCCTTTTTATTCTGTTGATACTGTCTTTCCATGCTCAAAAAAATTTAAATTTCACAAAGTCCAATTTGTTTATTTTTTTTTCTTTTATTGCCTTTGTCTTTTGGTATCACACACAAAAAATCATTGCCAATCCCAATATTGTGACACTTTTCCATACATTTTCTTTCTTCACTCTTCCCCTCCCTTCTTCCTTCCTTCCTAACTCTATCCTCCTTCCTTTCTTCCTCCCTCCCTTTCTTCTTCCTTCCTTCCTTCCGTTCTAACTTCATCTTCCTTCCTTCTCTAGGCAAGCACTATACCACAGAGCCACATGCTCAGCTGCCATGTTTTCTTCAAGGGTTTTAAATGTTCAGTTCTTACATTTAGGTCTGTGATCCATTTTGAGTTGTTTTTTTGCATATGGTGCCAGGTAAGGGTCCAATTTCGTTCTTTTGCATGTGGATATCCAGTTTTTCCAGCACCATTTGTTTAAAAGTTTGTCCTCTCCTCCATTAAATGGTCTTGTCATGTGCACTGAAAATCATTTGGCCATATATTCAGAGTTTCTATCTGAGCTCTCTATTCTATTCTTTTGGTCTATATGTCTGTCTTTATGACAGTATCACATTTTCATAACAGTAACTTTGTAGTAAGTTGTAAAGTTGTGGATGTTTCGTTTGTTTCTTCAGGTCTGGGATCTGAACTCAGGGCCTCACACATGGTAGGCAAGCACCACACCACTGAAGTGCACTCCTAGCCCTGCAGCAAGTCTTGAGATCGGGAAATGTGACTTGTTCTTTCTCATATCCTGGCTTTTGTGATAATCATCTCCTTGCTGTTCTTTATAGTTTTATCATTTATGTGTGAAACACCTTATATATATTTATATGTATGGTTGGCAGTACTGGACCAGAGGTGAGGCTTCAGTGGTAGAATGCCTGCCTAGCAAGTATAAAATCTTGAGTTCAAACCACAGCATCACCAATAAATAAATAAATAAAATAATAATAATAAAAGATTGCTTTATGGAAATTAAATCATACTTTATGGATTCAGGTGTGATTGCTTCTTCCCATATTAGTTTTGGAATTCCCTTGCCTGTGTGCCATTCCAATGTGTGTCTATGCCACAATGTATCTGTTCTACATTCTGTTACATTGATGGTCATTCTGTGAGTCAGATGGGGCCTGGTCATGAAAACAAAAACTAGATTATTCATTTCAAGTAGATGGGATGCAATTCAGGAAACTGGTTCCTCAGGGGCTGGAGGACTAAAAGAGCAATGACGTCATATAGCACTTGGCCCTAGGTGCAATAAATCCCAAGTCCTGTATAAATAAATACATAAAGACTGGTAGAGTGGTAAGAGCACCTGCCTAGCAAGTGTGAGGCCCTGAGTTCAAACCCCAGTGCCACCAAAAATATAAATAAATAAGTACATAAATAAATAACTTTAAAAAAAGCAGTGAGAAAGAGAATATCGAGACAATACAGAAATAGTAACTACAGGGCTAAACACCTGCTTTGCAAATTTGAAGCCCTGAGTTCAAACTCAGCCCACCAAAAAAACATAAAAAAAAAAAAAAAACCAACAGAGAGACAGAAATGAAGTCTGGGAAAGTAAGTAGCAGACTCCTAGCCCCACTCATCATCAGAGAGCAGAAAAAATAAGAATGAATTTGAAGGTGAAAGGCAAGTGAGCAATTGTATGCTTGTACAGACATACTGCAATGAAATTATATACAATTAATATACAATAATGATAACAGAAAAAGCAATAAATAAATAGCTGGCATGGTTTACCCCTTTTTGCCACTCAGCCCCTCCACCTTTTCATATTTGAACAAAAACAACTCCAGTCCTTTGCCTAACAAGATGTCAGAATAATATTATTATAATTTAAGAGCAGAGAAGCCTACAGCTTGCTGTGTTCCTTATGAGAACACAGCCTTGAAGTATTCCCTTCAATAAAGTAAGAAGAAGCCAGTGCAATCTTAGCTACTCAAGAGGTAGAGACAGGAGGATCACAAGTTCAAGGCTTGCCCGGGCAAAGTTTATAGAGACAGTCTCAAAAACAAAATAAAAACAAAAGGACTGGGGATATGGCTCAAGTGGTAGAATGCTTACCTAACAAGTACAAGGCCCTGGATTCAATCCCCAATACCTTGGGGGAGAAAAAGGAATAAGAAATGTGCTGGTTGTTGGAGGGCCACTGGCATCTTTTGTAGCTCAGCGGTAGCCATTTCTGCAGGCCAGAGTTGATGGCAGTGGAAACAGCTGGGGGCCTGGGCTTCCTGGTGTCAGCAGGCATGACAGGAGTCCAGAACAGAGGCCAAGTGACAGCATTTAGTCATCAAAGGTAAGACAGACATAATTACCAAAATGGTTAGCAGGGATCTACTGGAATCGTCAAGACACCATAACATTCCTAGATAGGTGGACAGCCAGTGAGGGTGTTCCCTGACTCACATAATCAAAAGCCACAAAGCAGGAGAGAGTAGAAGGCTAATGTCAGCCATTGTGAAGGCAAATCACAATCCTTTACCTGGTCTTCAGACTCAAACATTTTTGGTTTTGGTTTTGGTTTTTTTGGGGGGTAACAGTTCATTTTATTATTGCTATGTCTATGGTGGTCCCAGGAGGGCAGGAATGTTCCTTGCTCAGAAATCTATGTGAATGCTGGGCGTGGTGGCACACCTGTAATCCCAGTCCTTCACAGGTTGAGGTAGGAGGATCTCAAGTTCAATTGAGCTGCTGTGGCAGATATGGTAGCTTTGTTAGAACGTACCCCTGACGTTTAGTAAGTGGCTGTTATTTTGGATGAGGAAGATCAGCAGCAGTTCCCTTTCCCTGGGAACAGACAATGGTAGGAGCTCACAGTCATTCCCCAGGGCTGTGGTAACTTTTCTTTCTATCACAATGTAGTCCAAAGGGAAGTCTGTCACTCTGGTATTCCACAGACCATCACCCTGCCCCACTAGCTGATGATATTGAGTTAACTGATCAGGAAGTGACAAGCATCCTGGATGCTCTGGCAAGGCCCCTGCTTGCCAGAAAGTAGAAGGTAAATCCTACAAAGAGTCAAGGATCTTTGTGAAATCTGTAGGATCTAGTAGTCTGCCATCACCGTGCACCTCCTGCCACCTAAGGAAGAGGCGCAGAGTTTAGGAGGCCCCTTCAGATTTTGGAGAGGGCATATGCCACACTTGAAAACACACTTGAATGCCACTTACTTATCAGGTAACTCAGAAGGCTGCTGGTTTTCAGTGAGGCCGAAAACAAGAGAGGTTTTCAGGTCCAGGCCAACATGCAAATTTCTCTACCACATAAACTCTTATAACCCAGAAGATGCTGTCTACCTATGATTCATGAGGATGCTTTGGGGAGTTTCTGGCAAGCCCAGAAGGTCCTGGAGCAAGACCATATCATCCACAGAAAGACAGTATTAAAAAAAATCCAATGTAGATGGATGTGGTGGCACATGCCTGTAATCCTAGCACTGAGGTGGGAGGATGGTGAGTTCCAGGCCAGCCTGGGCTGCATAGAGAGAACCTGCTCCAAAAAAAGAAGTCTGATGTGCTATTGAGACCAGATCACTGGACAGGTGTAATTATGCCCATGATGTACACATCATAAAACTGAGAAGTCGCTGACGGATTACTGCTATGACCCATCATGTGACAGAAGTGGCACACCCAGCAGTAGGCCCAAGTAAGTCTGAAGGTCAGAAGTACATGAGCAAGCACATGAGTT